CTTGATAGGGCTTGACAGGCCTTCTGGTCTGATCTTCCTCTTCCCTTTCCTTTCTTTTCTTTCTTTCTTTTCTTTTTCTTTTTTTTTTTTTAAAACAAATAAGGAAACCAAGCCCTGGAAAGGTAAGTGACTTGTTTAAGGTCACACAACTCCCTAGTGGCAAGAGCTGAGATTAGAACTAGTGTTTTTCCTTCCCAGTGTAGAATTAACTATCTTTGGTGTGAGGGGGCAGCAGTAGTATAGTAGAGAATTGAATTTGGAGTCTGAATGCTTGGATTAATAGTTATGTAACCTTGGGTGATTTATAATCAGCCTGTCGGCCCTCAATTTCATCATTGTTCAAATGGCAATAATTACATCACCTACTTTATAGGTGGTTGTGATTATCAAATGAGAGTGTATATAAAGTGCATGGCAACTGTAAATCACTAAAAATGGCAGCTATTGTTTTTGCCAACATTATCGTTGTTATTAATAAGAATTGAACAAATATTTTTGTGCTGTTAATGTAAACTTTTTTAATAAAATCTGAGTTTTGTTGCCTTTTAAATTTGTCTTTAATTATGCTTATTTTGTTCGCTATTTGTGCTTTTACTTTTCTTCACTTCATATGTTTCTTCTCATACATTTGCTTGGAGATGTGCTTCTTATCAAGAGTACTTTAAAATGAAAAGGGAGAGGGAAGAAAGAAAGTAACTACAAAGAATGATTAATACTTGTGCCACAATGTAGAATAAAGCCCAATGTAGAATGAAAATTAGCAATGGAGATATTCAGTGGTTTATTTGAAATAATGGGGCAGCTAGGTGGTGCAGTGGATAGAGCACTGGGCCTGAAGTCAGGAGGACCTGAGTTCAAATCTGGCCTCAGACACAACACTCACTAGCTGTGTGACTCTGGGCAAGTCACTTAACCCCAATTGCCCCACCAAAAAAAAAAAAAAAGAAAGAAAGAAAGAAATAACCTAAGAAAAACAGTAATAGTGCTCATAGCCTAAAGTGTCATATTCATTAAATATTGGCAATAAACAGATTGAACTAAAAAGATGTAGATAGTTCTAAGGGATACTATCTAAGGGATACTATCATTACATCTCTAACTAAAAATCTCTTAATGCAGAGAGATAAATTCAACTTTATAGGTGTCACTGAGATTAGATCAAGGTGTAATGCTCTCAACAAGGCAGTTCTAAGGGGGAAAAATGAGAAAACTATTTAAGTAGACTTGGATACAAAGGAAGCTTCAATGCACCTGGATTTTTCAAAGATACATGTAGAAGATAGAAGCAATGGCACAAGTAGATCTGAGAATGTAAATCTGCATAGATCGGCAACATTCCTGTATATCACAAACAAAACCCTGCAAGAAGAGATAATCAGAGAAACCCCATTTAAAATAACTCTAGACAGTATGAAGTATCTGGGAAAGAATCATCTGCATAGAGATAATAATTTGATCCTTGGGAGCTGATGAGATCACCCAGTGAAAATAGTATATATTGAGAAAAGAGCTTAGTATATAGCCTTGGGGGACACTCCTTGTTAGCAGGCATGATTTACTGGATGAAGATCCAGCAAAGGAGACTGAAGAGAGGCCAGATGGTTGGGAGGAGACCCAGGTGAGAGTAGTGTCCTGAAAACCTAAAGAGAAGAAAGTATCAAGGAGGAAAAGGTGATCAACAGTGTAACATCCTGCAGAGGTCAAGAAGGATCAAGATTGAGCAAAGTTCATTAGATGGGACAATTAAGAGATCACTAGAGGAGAGAAAAATTGTGAGCCAAATGCTGAACTCATTGAGGAAAGAACTGTGTGGGGACAGCTAAGTGGCACAGTGGATAGAGCACCAACCCTGAAATCAGAAGGACCTGAGTTCAAATCTGGCCCCAGACACTTGACACTTACGAGCTGTGTGACCCTGGGCAAGTCACTTAACCCTGATTGCTCCCCCTTCCCCTGCCCCCCAAAAAAGAAAGAAGGATGTGCCCTAGAAATCTGTATATAAAAGCTACCAGGATTGGGTGTTAAATATAGATTGAATGAATCTCAAAAGAGAAAAGATTACTGAGTGATGGTGGTAGAGGAAGAACCTGGAAATGGCATGGGGGAACAAGGAGTAATTCAACTCTGCCAGCTCAACCAGTGAGTTGGGGTGTATTGAAAGTGCAACCAGTATTGCAAAGAGTGGCCAGGGGAGCTATCATCAGGAGGGTCACACTGGGACTCAGTGAGTGCAAGAGAGGTAGAGGGAACAAGTCTTCGTCTTATCTCTGGGACTAAATACAAACTCTTCTATTTGTCATTTAAAGCCCTTCACGACCTGGCTCAGCCTGCTCTTCCAGTCTTATGCATTACTACCCTTAATGCACTCTGAAGTGTAGCCAAACTGGCTTTCTTGCTTTTCATACAAGACATCCCTCTCTCATCTCTTTGTCTTTGCATACACTTTCTATTCATGCTTGAAATATAATATGTGTCTCTGTCTCTTAGAATTCCTAGTTTCCTTCAAAGCCTAGCTCAAGCATCACCTCCTTCATGAGACCTTTCCCCATCTCTTCAAATGCTAATGCCTGCTTCTAAAATTTCATCAGTCTACTAGCATTTATTAAATCCTTTCCGTGTACCAGACACTGTGCTAAACACTGGGGATGCAAAGAAAGGCAAAAGACAGTCCCTTCCCTTGAGGAGTTTAGAGTTGAGTGGGGGGAGATAACATTCAAATAGCTATTATATAAACTAGATATTTGGTTAGTAAATTGGAGATAATCTGTAAATCCTAAGATTAAAGAGGATCTTTAAAGTCTTCTTGCTGAAGGTTGGACTTTAGCTGGAACTTGAAGGAAGCCAAGGAGTAGAGATGATGAGGGAAAGAGTTACAGATATGGGGGGCAAAAGGTGAACATGGAGTTGGGAGATGAGGAGCTGTGTGCAAGGAACAGTAGGAGGCCGGTGTCACTGGATTGGAGTATGCTTGGAGGGAGAGGAGAGGTGTAAGATATAAGAAGACTAGAAAAGTAGGAAGGGACCAGATCATAGAGAGCTTTTTTTTTTTTATGCCTTTTTTATGGTGAGGCAATTGGAGTTAAGTGACTTGCCCAGAGTCACACAGCTAGTAAGTGTCAAGTGTCAGAGGCTAGATTTGAACTCAGGTCCTCCTGACTCCAAGGCTGAAACTCTATCTACTGCACCACCTAGCTGCCCCTATAGAGAATTTTCAGAACCAAACAGAAGATTTTATATTTGATCCTGGATCCACTGGAGTTTATTGAATAAAGATCAAACTTGTGTTTTTAGGATGATTAATTTGACAGCTGAATGGCGAATAGACTGGAGTAAGGAGAGACTTGAGGCAGGGAGACCAATCGGAAGGCTATTGTAATATCCTAGGTGTGAAGTGATGAGGGCCTGCCTTAGAGTGGCAGGAGGGTCAGAGGAGAGAAGGGGACATCTTTGAGAGATGATAAGAAGGTTAAAAATGCCAGGACTTCACCACTGATTTGGTTATGGTGGGGGGAGGGTGAGAAAGAGTGAGGAATCAAGGCTGACACTGGGGTTTCTAGCCTGGGTCACTGGGAGGATGGTGGTACCCTGGACAGTAATAGGGAGCTTGGAAGATAGGAGGGTTTCAGGTGAAAGATAATGAGTTCATTTTGTCCATGTTGAGTTTTAGATGTCTCATAGACATCCAGTTTAAGCTGTCAACTAGGCAGTTCTGCTTACATGTGTAAATGTGTCTCCTGATAGAATGTAAGTTCCTTAAGAGCAGAGATTGTTTCATTTTAGCCTTTGTGTCCTCATCACCTCAAGCAGTGTCTAGCTGGGTCTTAATAAATGTTTGTTGATTGAATGGTTAATTTTGACAAAATTTTGTATACTAAATAAGAGTGTCAATATATACCTTCAGTTTGCTTTTTGACTTATTTATTCTGTCATGTAGAAGCCAAATGGTGACAAGGAATTATTAAGAAAACATTATCTTACATAATTTTGTAAGATAATTTTAATTTTAATAATAATTAATTTTATAATTTATAAACCATATAATTTATAAATTTATATTTATAAACCAAACTTCTAGAAGAGGTTGGTCTCTTTACAATTTTTTTTGCCTAAAATGAAACCATTTCCTAGAAGAGATGGGAGAAGGGGCAAGGAGTCTACTAGCATCAAAGTGGAGAGAGAAGAAAGTAGGAAGATAATAGGGTGAGAGGAGGTCAGAGAAAAGATGCTGGAAGTGGGTTATGGGACATGGGAATAGGATGATGGGAGGACCTTGTAGTTAGGAGATGGCACACAGGATCCCATCAGAGGAGTTAGTTGTTGGAAGGTAATGGAAATGTAAGGGTATGAAGAAGCTTATTTTGTTTCTTAGTTGGTAGTCTCATGAATAAAATAATAGTTTAATTTTATAATTTTAAATACATTTCTGTGAAATTTAATTGACAGGTAGAAGTGACTGAGGTATGTGGTTTTTAGGGGGAGGAAGGATGGACTGGACTCATGAGACATGTAATTATACCAAGTGAAGTTGACAAGTCACAGAATCACTGTTACCAAAGTTGAACATTGCTATGCCCTATTTGTGTGTTTTCCTCTAAGGCTTTTGAGGTACCTCATGGAAAGAGTTTAGTGGTTCTGTCTTCAGAGCATTTAACTTCATATTGAATAATCATATACACATATATTTGTATAGGTTGTATATTAATTCTCTCCTCTCTTCCCCCTCAAAAAATTAAGATAAGCTTCCTTGAAAGCAGATATTGTTTATTTTTATCTTTGGGTTCCTGTCACCCAGCACAGTTCCTGGCATATAGGGGCTTAAATGCTTATTGATTGATTGATCTGAATTTTACAAAGGGAACTTCTGTGACTGCTCTCCCTGTGCTTAGACTGACAGCCCAGAAGTTCTCTGTCTCCACTAGTAACAGTGGAATGTGTAATGCACAACTGAACTGTGGAGAATGTCTTAGCCATTGTGTCTTTTTCCTCCCATTTACCAACAGCAGTCAGAGCTTTTGGCTGAATCAAGTCCAGAAAAATTAGGAGTGACCCAGCAACATCGCCGAAAAGTCGCTTCTTTGAACAAGCAAATTCAACAGAAAACCAAACTTCTAGAAGAGGTTGGTCTCTTTACAATTTTTTTTGCC